TACATTAGTTTAAAAAAATTTTAATTAATTTGTAAAAAAAAAGTAATAAAAGGCCAATCGAAAACTTCCTTTTGAAAAATTACCCGGAGACCCTGTCAAAAGCCTACAATTCAACTACAACAAGCGTTAACTCAATGGGCATTAGCAAAACTGTTGCATACATTTAGGTGTTTCACGCACAGTTTCTTATTGCTACCAACCAACAGCGTCCTTCACTGAAAAAGCAAAGAAAAAAACGCGCTACGAAAAAAACTACAGAAAAAGTTAGCCCAGCAAAGTGTTGACACGAATATGAGTAGACAAAGAAAACAGCGATAAAAGAGCAATACAAGAACACTTCAAAGAAAATAATAATAACTCGCCACTGAATCAACAGTTGGCAGTGGCTAACGTAGAAGAAATGAATGAGAAGCAGGCGCAAACAGGTGGAAAGCAATTTCGCTTTGCGTGTGATAAGAAAATACATTTTTCTTTTTTGGTAGGCAGTACGCCTGAAAATAGACTTACATTATTTGAAATTACTAAAAGAATTTTGCGAATTTTATATTTAAGCGCCACTTTAAATGTAAGTTTTTAATTTGGGAAATATTTAAAACAAGTTAAACGCGCCTCGATGTATACTGCAATGTGTGCTCTGTTAAAAAACAGCTTTTAATAGTAATCCGTTTTCCTTGAGAAATAAAATAATGAGATGTTAACTTACAAAATCACTCTAGACCTAAAAATTTTAGCTTAAAGCATAAAATCATCAATAAAAGATATATAATTACTATAAGCGCCTAAACTTATGTTACTAAAATAGAATAGGCCTTTAATATTGATAATTATTCTAAAATCTTTTTAAAAATTCTAATATAATTAGAATACTTAATATAATTAAAAATATTACCTAAGCAATAAAACTGCTAATAACTGAAAATATCACATTTACGCCTTAAAATAGGCTTTAAAAAACCAAATCATTGCTAACAGATTTATGCGTACAATTCCCCTTGGAGCTGGCAATAAGTATTTGAACGGTACAAACTTTCTAAGTGAAATAATTCAATTTTCAGCAAATTTATATTGCTCAGGTCCGTCGCTACTCTAACGACGCTCTAGAAGAGCAAAACACTCAACATAACCTATACTCACACAATTTATAGCTAGAATAGCAAATTTCCTATCAAATTTTCCTTTGAAAGACCAATAGAGCTCTTTATAACAGCAGTCTTCTCAGTGGCAGCAAACTGAGGGAATCAGCATAATTCTTAATGCTTAAAAGTATACTTATTTAACACCAATATTTTTAATATTTATATTTACACTATTTGCCACGCAAATAAATGATAATATACCTAGGATTGAGACTTAAGAAAAACATATTTTCATATCGCCATTTTCGTGGTGAAATATTTACTCGTCTTCACTTTCCTTTCAGCAAAAATCAGACATGTAAATAAAAGATATAATGATGATTGAAGCGCTGACAATAGAACTTTTCAACAGACAGCCTAATTGACTGTTCAACTGAGTGTAAATAAGTTGGCGACTACTTAGTGGACTCAAGGCGACAAGCAGTAGACACATCCAGCCTACAATGCCGGCATTTGCCAGACACACAATGAAATTTATGCGGAATTTAAATGCGTTTTAGAAAGTGAAGGCGCATGATAGCAGACCGAATAACGGCTATGGTTCAGAGAACCTTCACTGAAGGACAAGTGAAAGTTTGCTTTGACTTTTATATAGACATTTCTTTTTGGGCAAACATCAACTTTTATTTATGTACGAGTATATTCGGAATTTCTCGACAGATTAGAATATCGAAGTGGTAAGTTACATAATTTTTTAAGGGCCAAATTGCTATTGGAAAATGTTTTTTTAAGTCGAAAACTATCGACAATTTTCATTGCTTTAATTTATCAACAAACAAATCATTTTGAGAAAAGGAGTTCTAAACAGGAACACACTGTTACCGATGGTCGATAACTCCGCACCACCACAGTTGGTCAAGCAATTAGAAATCATCAGGCCTAATATAGCTATAAAAAACTCATGCTGAAATAATAAAATATTTTTTTTTAAACTGATGGGAGAATATTATCGGTAACTTAAACAAAATATATTTTTGAACTGTGAGAATATTATCGATAAGATATAAAATTGTTAACTAATGGGTGAATGTTATCGATAATCGATACATTTTTATCAAGATACATATAAATATCTAAGACATTGCCAATAAAGGAATAAGCCAATAGACGATTTAAAAAAAATTATAAGAAAATATTATCGATGATCGATAAATGTATATCAAATTCTTGGCAGGTATAAAAAACTATGGGAATTTCTAAAAATTCACCAAGACAAACAAATTTTTAAAAGAAATAATGGAAAATGTATTAAGCTAGTAAAAATGATAATCGATAAATTTTAACATAAAGCTTTTTGAAAAAAGTGAAAAAATTAAATGTTAATTAAGTTAGTTAAATAAAAAAACAAAGAGAAGATTTAAAAAAACTGAAGTGAGAAAGTTATCGATACTCTGTAAATTTTTTTTTTTTTTAAATTTATGGACACTTGCTTAAATAATAAAGCAACGAAAATTTTTGAAAAAGCAGATGTAAGAGGTTATCGATGACCGAAAGAGTTTTAAAGGCCGGTTGGATATCAGAAGAAAAAAACAATAAAATAAAATTCTAAATCAGATGACATAATGTTATCGATAACCGATAAATTTTTTAAGGAGACATGTGGGATATCAGAAAAAAATAAAAAAATTTCAAAATCGGATGGCATAATGTTATTGATAACTGATCAATTATATAAGCAACTTATGGGCACTTGTTGAAATAATTAAGCAATGAGAAATTTTGAAAAAAAACAGGCGTGAGAGTGTTATCGATAACCGATATATTTTATAAGAAGACGGGATGGATATCAGCTAAAATAGAACACTAAAAGCTTTCAAAATCAGATGGCATAATGTTATCGATAACCGATAAATTTTATAAGGAGATAGATTGGATATCAGCAAAAATAAAACAAAAAAATTCAAAATCAGATGGCATAATGTTATCGATAACCGATAAAATTTATAAGGAGACAGGTTGGATATCTGAAAACAACAATAAACAATTTTCAAAATTAGATGGCATAATGTTATCGATAACTGATAAATTATATAAGCAATTTACGGGAACTTGTTGAAATAATTAAGCAATGAGAAATTTTGAAAAAGCAGGCGTTATCGATAACCGATATATTTTATAAGCAGACAGGATGGATATCAGCAAAAATAAAACACTAAATACACTAAATACTAAATACAATACTAATTTGGAATTAAATTTCTCTAATATTCCCATTCAATTATTAATCGCTTTTCAATTGCCATCCTAATAAAATAACAATTTGTATATCATTTGGCATGCAATAAAGCGATTTGCAGGTTGAAATCAGCAAATAACATTTAAATAAGAATAATTGAAGGCAAAGTTTACTCACCGCACACCTTGCAGCAGCAATCGATTTATAATTAACAATTATTATTGTGTAAATTCAATTGCACTAATGAGTTGTTTGTTGACGTAATAACACTTGCACACTACTTTTTTTTATAGTTAACTGATAGCCTGGCTTATTAAGACCTAGAACAAAGGGAGAATATATATATATTTACAAATTTGCGTATATTTTTTTATTTTATAGAAAAATGGCATATACTTAAATACATACAAATGTACATATGTATACAAAATATGAACCTTAACGCGCCTTGACACTTGTAAACATTTATTTAATTCGCTTTTACCATTATTAGACAACTGGTAATTAAAAACTAATTAATCTTGATCTGCGTACAATTGTGCATACAAACTTAGCTGCGCAAAGTGCATATTTAAATATATTTACGTGTAGATATCTATTTTGAGTGCAGTAATTCGCAGAAAAGGCCGTGACTTAGTAAAAAAAATTTGACAAAAACTATCATTCATTCATACACCTCAGCGTCCTATCTGGCACTTCACACAAAATCACATGCACACAGTTTCATCTTATAAACGGATGTATGTTTGTAGCTATCAGCTGCCACTTGTCGGCAATAAGCGTCTCCAGCTATCAACCGCAAATAACGCTATCAGACGCAGCCATCTCAGATAAATGCATAATGTGTGCGTTTGTGTGTGTGTGTGTGTGTGTGTGTATGATATACATTTTCAAAACTAAACAGGTGTGCTACCGGAATTACTTTGACAGTACGCACGAACTACCAATATTACACACACCAGCACACACATATGTACACACTTATACAAAAATATAAACCACACGCGCTCATGGTGCAATATGTCGCTCTCGATTACCGCTAGCTGGCAAATACTGACAAATATTGAGTTGTAAGCAAATTAATTAACAATTCTTTGGCTTTACGGTGACAGTGACAGATCTTAATAATTTTTTTTTTTGTTGTTGTTTAAACCAAAAACCTTAGCATATGCTCCTTGATAAGTACAAGTATTTTCGATTTTAAAACACAAACACGACTGTCAATGGTGGTAATAAACAACATTTTACTTGCGCAAGGCAGCTGTGCCACAATTGTGTATTGATGATGTTCAAAAGACAATAAAATAGCAAAATAATAGAAACTTACGTTATACATATTATAAATTAAATAATAATAATAACAAAAAGTAATAACTAAAAAAAATATTAAT